AACAACAACATTGCCGTATTACCTTACGGATAACCTCTCAAAATTCAGTATATCTCTGGTACTACCAAGTTGTCTGCCTGCTTTTTTGAGGGGGATATGCAGTCTGTCCGAATCCGTTTTTTCAGGTTCCAGCCGGTACACTTTTAAGATCTTTACTGGCTTTCCATCTAGCTCTAGCCTTTTTTCTTGCCTGATGTATCCAGTAATTATTGGTATCTCCTACTGATTAACTGCTAGAGTTTTTTATTCGCACATAACTTGCTCTTCAGGATTCAGAGAAATCTCTTCTTGCATGCAATATATTGTCAAGTTCCAGCACGCCAAGGTATTTGTATGACGATCGTTATTAGAAGCTGTTCTTTTCATCATTTGATGTCGTCACTCCGTCGCTTTTTCATATGTTTCCCTTCTTAATGTCGACCGAAGTACTTTTGTCCAAACAGAAGTCAACGCTGGCATTTTCCGAAAATATTTTTGCACATTCAATCACTTGCAGAACAAACTAAAATAATCTTTTAAAAATTATTTTTTCTCGTATGATTCCAACACTTATTTTTCTATTGTTATCTAAATTATAGACCTTCGCCTTCTTTCTACTGTATTTACTTCGTATGTTCTTATTTTAGTTTTCTCTTTCTTTCATTCCCTTATTCTGAATTTATTATTCTTCGTTTACTAGACTTCTTTCTAGTCTTCTGCCTCATCTACATCTTTTTCTTCACACTGAGAACACCAAATATCCCTTTGCTAAGGGAAGGGAAAGGAATAATTTGTTACCCAGTGTACTTTTTTGCAAAACAGAGCCCTATGGCCGTCAACTTCACCATCTACAACCATCGAATGCTAAAAAAACTCACTTTTATAAAAGTCTGAATTCGAAACAAAGCAAAATATGGGTTGATCGGTTGCCGAACTGTTTACTTTCTAATGCCAAGGTAATTTTTATGTTGCTGAAGTAATAACTTTGTTCGAAAAATACTTTTCAAGTAGGTCGACCAACATACAAATAAACTAATCAACGTTTCTATCTCGGAATGTGCTTTTCTCTTAAAAATAATTTATGTGAAAAAAAACAATCCGCTTAAGAAGTTTGCTTTTCTTAACATAATTTAAGAGACCAATTTATTACCACAGTGCTTCGGTTTCCGAGAGTTTATTTTTTCTTTGAGTGACTCATTGCTTACAGATGAGTCGTAAATTATTTTCGATGACCAACTCCCTGGAATGAAAAACAGGCATGCAGAGAATTGCATTTTTGCCAGGGATTTCATGGCTCATAAAAAAATGACGGACGAATAAAAAGTACGGATCCGCTTCGCGAACGGCATTTGCTGTTCAGTAAATCGAATCTATCAATTGACAGAACATGTCCAAACCATCAATTAATTACAGAGACCACTAGACAGCTTACCACTTTCACGTCGTAAAGTCTACAACGACGAAAAACCGGACAAACAAACGAACTCTGGATCTGAACCAAAGATACGACTGAAAACATGAAGGTCCCATTCCATAAGAAAAAAGCAATACAACGTGCACGGTGACACAACTTTCAAAACTGGGGTAAACACAGCATATTATACTGATGAGTAGTACGGAAAACGGGGCGTCGTACCTCACAATTTCCTCATATACTATAACGGCGAAATGCGCATCTTACATAACGCGGTAGAGTTCACTAATTATTAGGAAGCCGTACATGCTAATATCAGTATATGATTAAAAACGATACGGTTTTGTATAAATAGCGTATGAAACGTTTGGAATGTTCTTTTTTGGCGCTTCGCCGTTTTCCCAGATCTGAACAATAAAATGTGGTCCAGGCGAACAAAGATCACATCTCCTATGGAAAAGATGTTCGGTCGACTGGCACATTTGCATTTCGTTACTCGCATCACTCAAGGACTGGTTTCGACGCGGACGGCCAAAGTCAAAGTTCCTAATACGTTCGCTAATGTCGACTGTGATTGGTCACCGGTCAAAGACTGGCGGAAATTCTTAATAATCTAACATCTCAAATTTTCCATATCTCTGACAAAGTCAGTCTATTAGAGTATTTGCCACATGGCTGCCAGACGTTGGCCTGAAGATCACGTCGGTTAGTACTGCTCACGTTCACCACCAACTACTCGCACGAAGACCACCTCAATCGCCGAGGAAAAACTTCGTGACGTAGCAGCAACACGAGACGGCACGTAAGTCGTAACATACGGTTCAGCCGCCTACAAAGCATAGACGATCGTATGATGACGTTAGACAGGCAGGGAAATTATGAAAACGAAACACCGGCCACTGGAACCGAATATCGCCGTAGGCGATGACGATTTTCCTTCATCTAATTCACTTCATATAGGCAGCCTCAAATTAACATAACTGAAAGCACAGCATTCAATGCCAAAAATCCTTTGACTTCTCGATCTCCCTTTTTTAATTCGTTGCATTTTACAGAGTTCAGCTATTTGAGTCAATCGCCCTCCCATACTTTTCCTCCATTACCTTGTTCAAGTGTTCGCTCATTC